GCTCAGCTAAACAGAATGATGTCCAAATATGGAACAAGCAGAATGGCACAGGTATGACAATAAAGCAAAGGTTGGGTGTAAACCACCAGCACGGCTGCACTGATGGACTACAGCTCTGTATGTAAAGAAAGGCATCCCTCATGTTCAGCTGCGTGCACACAGCAGTGTCCTTGCCTGACAGCCCGCTCCCCTAATATACCTCATCAGTATCTTCTCCTGCAGTAGCAGCTTCTAGAGCAGCAAGTGCTTCCGCCACTGCTGCATCCTCCTCCGCCATCTCTCCATTCCCATCCCCACTGCAGCCATGGACACCCTCCTGTCCACTTTTAGCATCAACCACAGGCACAGCATGAGCAACGTCCTCCTCTTCAAAGGAGCCACTTAGAACTTCTGTTGCCATGCCCTCACTCAACAAATCCCACCTCTCCCTAGTAGACGGATCCATGCCATGAAGGACAATGTCATCCAGATGCTCATTTTCTGCGTGGTTCTGGAAAAGACAATCCTTTTCTTCATGATCACTACTGTCTACAGCTGAGCCCCAAAGTTGAGGGTAATCCGGAGCTGGTATCTGTAGGATGTGGTCTTGTACATCCAAGGTAAGACTTTCTGTATTAGAAGATACTCCGGAGTCTCCATTTTGGATGACATGGGTGTCTTCTACAGCTGGTAACACAGCATCCTGTTTCCTGGTGTCCCCTCCTTCTAGGAAGGGAAGCATCGGGAGACTGTCATTGGCAGTATTGTCCAAGGAGTTCTCACCACTGTACTGGGGCCTGGGATTCCCAGTGGGTTGCAAAGCAGCAGCGGGGCCAACCCCATTAATGGCACCATCAGCCTTGTCCCCACTGTGGCTCCCTCCTGGGTCCCCTGGAGGGAGAGGTCCCCGGTGAGACCAGCGGGGCTCCCGGCCACTGGCTGTTCTGCTCCGGCTCTCAGTTCTCTTTAATCCCTCACTTTGAAGGTCATTTTTATGCACCAAGACTTCACTGCTCTGTCTGTCTTTTAATTTACCAGTGCTGTCTTCATCTAACTTGCAGCTGCTTACTTCATTGATATAGCCAGGAGAAGACACCTGCACCGGATCAAAGAGATAGCTGGGGAGAGAGAATACTTAGAGTCAGTCAGGCTTGTGTGAGGGCCAGCAGTTTGTACCGCAGACTATTTCTCTCTACAATTGCTGTTAACTTCATTTCTATGATTAACTGTTCTTTTAACTCTATCTAAGTATATCCTCTCCAACATATATAAGCAATAAATGTTGGAGAGGATATGGAGAGATAGGAACTCTCATACACTGGTGGTGGGATTGTAAAATGGTACAACCACTTTGGAAAGCAGTCTAGCATTTCCTCAAAAAGCTGAACATAAAAATTCTGTGTAACTCAGCTATTCTACTGCTTGGAATATATCTCAAGAAATTCAGAACTGAGAAACTAATGGAGATTTGTATGCCAGTGTTCATAGCAGTGTTATTCACCATCACAAGAACACGGAAACAGCTCAAAAGCCCAACCACAATTGCATGGATTGAGAAATTGTGGTACATTCACATGATGGAATACTATGCAGCACTCAGGACCAATGATTTGGAAAAATAGTACATAACTTGGGAGGCACTTGAGAACATTATGCTGAGTGAATGAAACCTATCTGAATGAATCAAAATTGAGTGGAATATAGTTGATATAAAAACATTCTGGTGACAGATGTTAAGATGTCCAAAAGAGGGGTCAAAAGAAAAACACAAGGACAAAGTGCCCTGTGGAATTTAAGACTAAAAAGGGAACCAAGATAAATTCCAACATGCAGGAGATAAAGGACTAAGTACAGATGGTGTATGTCCTCAGTGGAATATTATGCAGTCATTAAAATGATGTTTCCAAAGTATACTGTGTGCTGAAAAGACAGGGAAGTTCACAGCTCATTCTCTACGTAAACAACAGCTTGTTTCTCCCATTCAAGTCAGTGAAGTGGGTTGTTCTGGGCTTGGGTTTTTTTGGTGTTTTGTTTTTTTTTTTTTTAAAACAAGTTTTCCAAATAGTTTGTATTTCATGGATGACAGGACTCGTAAACTGTTCCAAGAGTGAAGAATCAACGCACTGTTTCTCTCATTCAAGTAGATATGATCAAAAGTCTTTGCCCTATTGTGAGAAAGGACTGTTTGTAACAGTCACAGGGCTGTTCCGAAGACATTATGGGAATGAGAAAACAATATGCAGTTTCTACCATTCAAGTGCCGGAATTCAGTGTGCTACCTCACCAACTGCATTTTGGCAAGGGTATTAAAGGTCCAGACCATTCCGTGAAAGAATTCATGTCCTCCTATTCAAGAACATCAAGTAGGAAACGTGTTCTCAATTCTACTTGTATTGCAAAGAAAGATGTCCCATTACAGTCTGTGAAGGAAAGAACTGATGTATACGGTTCCACCCATTAACATCTATGACACCAAAACAAGGGGAAACAATGGTAGCTATGAAGGCTGAAGCAGCATGAAAGACACTTAACAATCAATGCGCTTTGAATAGTGCACATTATACTATGCATAGGTATATATATGCTTGGAAAAGTCCAACAAAGGTCAATAAAAGAGAGGAAAACCCTCAGTGAGATACACTGATGTGGTGACTATAACAATGGGATTAAGCATGGTGTGGATTGTGAACATGGGGCAGGATAGGGTTGTAACAAGTCACAGCTGACTTGACAGTATCTAACAACAATAAAGTATATGTGTGTGTGTATGTAAAATTTATATATATGTGTATGTGTGTGAATATATGTAAAATTTATATATACATGTATCTAGAATAATGAAGATAGTTTGAGTCAGAGAAGGATAAGACTGTTAATTAATTTTACCCTCTTTATTTTATGCAGAATTCTATTTATATTACCAACACTTTGTAAATGAAATTATGGACAAAATGTAAAGCACACATGTGGTTGGGACGATTTCTTTTCAGTGATGCAATTTCATGCATCCTCCGAGACCTAAGTTTTTCTTAGTGCTGGAGCTCCCAGGAGAAATTTAAAGTTAACCCAAACCAAATTCAGCTTTTGAGAACAATAGCATTCTCAACAAGGCTCCAGAGAGTCAGCAAAAAGAGTTTAACAATCAACACCACCCATCCTCCTACATGACATCAAAGACATTCAAAACTCTTCACTTATTGCTCATTTCCTTCATGCCCCACTCTGGATAAATGCCCTGATCCTGGAACAGTCTTTAAAAAGGACTCCACAAAATTATTGTGCAAATCAAGTATTTTCAGTGTTACCTTTGTATCATCTTACAGCATCTGCACCCCATCTGGATTATTTTGTGTTACCATCTGGAAAAGAAAGTATAACAAGGAAAGAACCCAGTGAATGATATATGCATAGTTATTACTTTTTTCTTGGCTAAACACTCAAAATTAGTAGTCACTTCTCTCTCTCTCTCTCTCTCTCTCTCTCTCTCTCTCTTTTAGCAAAAGGCCAAACTCAGAAAGTGGAGTGGCCCAGTCCCTGAGACTCCCTTCAAGGATCTCAACTCACCGATTCAGACTTCTCAAACATTTGCTGACACTCTTTTCTGTGTCAAGTCCTTTCACCAACCCTGTGAGCTATGTGTTTTCACCCTCATTTGACAAATGAAGAAATGACAGGGCCAAGCATGCCAGAATGAGGGGAGGGTGGAGGCTCCACAAAGGACCTGCATCATTTTCTCATTCACTGCCTTCTCTGGAGACATGGGAACCCCGGTTTCTGTTTGTGCCCATCTGACCACATGAATGTGAGCTCTGGGGGCAGAAAACCCTAGTTCACTCTGATGGTTACAGGGATGAGAGGAAAGAAATGAGGCAGGAAAACTCAGTAAATGGATAATAAACTCATTGTTGCTGAGTCAGAACTGACCAACCACTGGGTTTCTGGGGATTTAAACAGCATGAGAGGAGAATGCTATCACATATTAAGATGTTGTTGTTATGTGCCGTCGAGTCTCCTCCGACCCCTAGTGACACAACATAGTGATACAACAGCACTGAACCCTGCCCTATACTGAGCCAGTTTCTTTGACACCAACACATCTACACACTTTGTCCCAGTTACTGTATCAATTCATCTCATCCGGGGTCTCCCTCTCCTGTGCTGTCTGTCTCCACCCTTCTGAGCATGATGTCCTTCTCGAAGGACCAGTCTCTCCCAGCCACATGCCCAAAATATGTGAGACAGAGTTTCACAATCCTAGCTGCCAAGGAGAAACTTGGATTCACCCTCTCCAAGACAGATCGATTTATTTTCTTGGCGGTTCATAGTAAGTTCAAGACTCTTCTCCAGAACCATAACTCAAAGGCATCAATTCTTTTTCTGTCATCCTTGGTCATTATCCAGCTCTCTGATGCAGAGCAAGATAGATTAAGGGAAAAGCAATATACAGTAAAGGGATGACCAGCAAGCACACTATCACTAAAGAAAGGGAAGCTACAGAGAGGAGGTGCACAAGAAATACAGTCCAAGTGAACACTATTACATACTCAGTCTTGTATTATTAGCAATAAGAAACACAAATCTACATAATACAGCTAGACACTGATCTAATAAAAATAATAAATAGGAATCAGGGAGCTCTGGTGGCCTAGTGGTAAGAAACTACTGCAATCTCGAAGGCACTTGGTTCAAATCCACCAGCTGCTCTGTGAGAGAAGGATGGGTAACTTCCTCCTTTGTGGCTAACAGACTGGGTCAATTCTGACTGAATGGTGCTCAACAACAAGCAACACTAATCTACAAGTGGATTATTTAGGCCAACAACCAGGACAAACAGATAAGGACAGGCCAAAGACACTGTACCCATGAGCAACAGAGGTGTGGGCTTGTTGCTGTTGTTGTTTTTCAGCACAACAATTTTATTTTTTTCTACTAATTTATTTACAAAATTTGAATACAAATTTTAACAAATTCCTTCCATTTCCCCCACTTCTCCATCCATTAAATTGTACAACCCAACGATTAATTCCCCCCTTGCCCCTGCACATCTACACTCCTCTGCTTCCAGCCTCTCCTACCCCTCCTGGATCCGTATACTCACTCTACAATAACAGTTTTATACACTATTTACCCTTATGGGACTGAGTTAGTTCACTCAACATAATGCTCTCCAGTCCCTCCTTACACAGATTTGACAGATGATATTGACTTATTTATACATTCACATTAGTTTATGCTAGAAATAGATTCATGTATATGGCAGAGTCAAAGCTTATGTAATCATAGCCCAACACTCTGAAAGAAGGAGTTGCTGGATTATCTATCCTCACCTTCTGCTCGTGTAACTGCAGCCGAAGGAGTAATGGGCATGAAATGATTATTGAGAAAGCCCAGCTCTGAAACCACCACTTCCTTCTTTTCATAGAACTTAACTATTCATGGCTTTTAGGAAAACTTCCTCCCCTAGGAAGGAAAACCACATGCTCTATCTTTAACATCAGTGCTATATGATTATAAAATTGATTTTATAAGCAATTGATCACATTCTCTCTCCCAGGATCTAATTTCCAGTTCCGTTTCTCTCCCCACCACCTCCCTCGCAGCCACGCCACACTGGTGTCCTAAGCGCCTAGCCCAGACCTGAGGGAGATGTGACTTCTTCCTGGTACAAGGTTGTGTCCTCTCACTTCACCTGCACTTTCTTCTTCAGTGACATTCCTATTCTCAAAAGACAGGCTCTAATGTCCAGAGTTGTATGACCTGCTGCCGAGAAGGGTGGGACCAGTGTATATACACCCCACCCCTGGAGTGGCCAGCATCTACAAGTAGGCTTCATTGGACAAAGGGCTAAAACACTTTCTATCACCCTGTGATACGTAATCTCAGAGTCAATGCATTCTCTTTACATATGTGCTCCCACACCCACACTTTGCCTTTAGTAACGTTTATTTCCAGGTGCAAAAGGAAGCCATTCCTCGCTCAGCATGACTGATGGAAATAGGATGAAAATGCTCTTGTGAAGTAAGATTGAATTTTAAACTGGCAGTTGGTCCGAGGTTTGGTGGCCCCACCTTCCACTTTTGACAGTTAAAGGCAAGAACTCTGGTTCGTGCCCTTTCTTCCTGAACAGCATAAAAATGTGCTTTCTCTTTAGAGTAATAAAAAAGCAACAGTGCAACAAAGGGTAAAAATCTCTGGCCACCTTCACCTGGTTTACACAGGGGAAAAGTAAATACCATTAGGATGGCTCTAAGCACCCACTGCTGGCGCCCCTGCTTGAGTCATGTGTGGGGAATTGACTCTGTCTGTTGTTGTGTGCTCAAGTTAAACAAGCCTGTGTTTGAAAATGGCCACGCTAACTAACACCGGTCAGCTAGCAGTGAAGGCTCTTTGCTGGAAAATCCCATTTCATAAAGGCAGTAGGATAGAGATGGGCAGTGGCAGGTGGAGAGAGGACAGGGGTTTTCTGATGAAGCAGAAAAATTGGCTGAGTATTTATCAGGAAGTCAAGGGAGTGGAGAAAAAGTGTAGTGCATGTCAAAAGGGCTTACAGTTCAAAGTGATCACCTCAAAGAATAACAGGGATTGGTCCCAAACGGGTCCAAATATATGGGTCAGCTTCTAGAGGCCTTATCAGCCAAATCTGGAACAATATGAACATCAGCTCTGTTTCCATGGCTTCATTATGACTTGTGGTTGACTTAATGCCACTGTCACTCAAAGAGAGGGAACCCTCAAGATGGCTCCAACTATGGGTTCAAGTATATGAGAGGTGATGCGGATAGCACAGGATAGGGCAAAGTACAGTCAGATCTATTGTTGTTGGGGTCACTGTGAGTCATTGTTGACTTGATGCACCTAACAACAACAGCATGGGCAAGATACTGAATGATACAGAAAGAGCACCTCAGCGTCCTTGTACCCAAATGTATTGGACACTGATCAACCATTTCAGAAGGCAGCATGTTGTGCAATATTGGGGAGGAGGGGAGGGCCTCTGGCCAGGACAGATCGCCTAAGCTCCAGATAAGGGCAAGCCTCCCAATGGCTTTTAATACGGGGTAGAGAAAGCTCCCTGAGTTAGGCTGTACGAGATTGAGAAAGCTCGCCACCTGAGAAGAAGGCTACCACGTATGTTGAGTTGGGAATGGTCCACACGAGGCTGAGATTCTCCTAACAAGTCTGCATGTCCCATGTCTGAAAGCCCACCCTATCTGGTCTTCATGTGTATATAAGTGCACTGCAGATCCCAATAAAATTGAGCTGGATTGACTCTCTGATCCTCTCCTAGAGTGGTGTATCTCTGTCGTGCTTACCCCTATCAGGGTGTCGCTGTTAAGTTGCCGGATAACTGACAGCAACAGCAGCATATAAACAAGAACTGACAGTATTTGAGGAAGTTCAAGCTGCACTAAAGTCATTGAGGCTCCATGACTGGATGGAATTCCAACTGAAATGCTTCAACAAATGAATGCAATGCTGAAAGCTCACACTCATCTACAGCAAGAAATCTGGAAGAATGCTTCCTGGTCAATTGGCCTTAAGAGATCTATTTTGTCCAAAACCTCAGGCAACATTGTGAGGTTGGGAGTTTCTTCTCGTTGTAGACTGTGGAGACAGAGCTATCCCTCCAGTGGGTTTTCAGAGTCCATAAACCACATGGGAGGAGAATGCTCTTCTTTCTCCTGCAGAGCATCTGGTGGATTCCAACTGTAAGCCTTTGGGTTGACCTTACCAATAAACCAGCAGAGCTCTGTACTCTGGAAGGAGTTGCTACGATATCCTTACTTCTGAGCTATTAATTAAAAGTTTGAGTGTTCCCTCTAATCTCTTCATGATCCAAATGCAAGATTGGAACACTCTAGGATACCCTTCACTTCTAACTTGCTGGCTACAAATCCAGGGCTTCACTCTACTTTGTCAGGACCCTAGCTTCAAACTCAAGGGTCCCCAGCTCTTCTCACATCTTACCTGTAGGCATCTACTACTCTTAGGCATCAGCGGAGTTTTGTGTCCAAACTGGTATTAAAATGAGTTTAGCCTGGCAATGTGTGTGCCCACGGGATGGGAATTTTATGTCTTCACCACAAGTTTGGAATTGAATCAGGTCCCTAGAAAAATAGGTGTTGAAGTCCTAATCCCTAGTACCTGAGACCATGATCTTGTTTGGAAACAGTCTTTTAAGATATTATCAGTCTATTTCATTGAAACAGTAAACATTATAGAAATAGCAATTGCAGATGACAGCTATTCCTCCAAAGCCAGTGGAGACTAGGTAAGAAAGGAAATTTAGAAAATTAGGAGGCTTCTCACCAAGGCTAAGTGTCTAAGATATCTCCT